GCAGATGGCTGAGGGCAGGGATTGCCTTTGGAGTGGAAGTAACCAGTAGCAGTGTCCATGGTGGTTGGGTCAGCAAAACTTTTCATTTTAAATCTTCTCCTCTTGTGTAATGTTCACCTCTAGGCACCACGTGTCTTATTCCTCAGTGCTGCTGTAACAGAAATACCACAAATGGGTGCCTATAAAGAACAGAAGTTTGTTTTCTCACTGTTTAGAAGGCTGAAGTCCTAATTCAGTGTATTCCTCTAGGGGAAGGTCCTTCCTTGTCTGCTTCAGCTTCTGGTAGTCAGTAGTCCTTAGAAGTCCCAGCTGCGTGTAGCTCCCTTGTCTTTAGATAGCATACGTTTCCTCTGCCTGTGTGTGATTTTTTTTTTTTTTTTAATAACTAATAAGTTACTAGGTTTAGAACACACTGTACACTGACACATTCTCATTAACATAGCAGAGAAAACTATTTCTCAAATGGGATTACATCGACAGGTATGTTGTTGTTGTTAGATGATCTATTCTGACTCAAAGTGACCCTGTGTACATCAGAAGGAAACACTGCACAGTCTTGCACCATCATCACAGTGGTTGCTATGTTTGAGCCCATTGTTGTAGCCACTGTGTCAACTGTCTTGTTGAGGGTCTTCCTATTTTTCTGTCACCATCTACTTTACCAAGCATGACTCCTTCTCTAGGGACTGGTCCCTCCTGATAACATGCCCAACAGACTTGAGACAGTCTCACCATCCTCACTGCTAAGGAGGATTCTGGCTGTACTTCATCCAAGACTGATTGGTTTGTTCTTTTGGCTGTGCATGTTATATTCAATAATTTTGCCAACACCATAATTCAAATGCATCAATTCTTCAGTCTTCCTTCTTCATTGGTCAGCTTTTGCATGCATATCAGGAGATTGAAAATACCATGGCTTGGACCAGGCTTACCTTAGTTCTCAAAGTGACATTTTTGCTTTTTTAACACTTTAAAGAAGTCTTTTGCAGCAAATTTGCCCCATGCAATATGTCTTTTGATTTCTTTGCTGCTGTTTTAATGGGAATTGATTGTGGAAAGTAAAATGAAATGCTTGACAAATTCAGTGTCTTCTCTGTTTATGATGATACTGCGTATTTGGCCAGTTAGGATTTCTGTTTTCTTTACATTACAGGCTATAGTCTTTGATCTTCATTAGGTGTAGGGATTATATATCATATATCTGCAGAAAAGCAAGTTTTTGATATATCAGATTCTAACAGTTACTAACACTTTTCTTTATCTTCTCTAGTTGCCCTTTGAAATCTTCTGTTCATATCATTTCTTCCATTTACTTTACCTATTCTGTGTTCAAGAGCAAGTTTCAGAGTTCTTGTGACATCCATTTTGGTCTTTTCTTTCTTTCTCATCTTTTAATGACCTTTTGCCTTCTGCATGTATGATGTCATCTTAAAACTCATCTGGTCTTTGATAGTTTATGTTCAGTGTGTCAAATACGTTCTTGAGATGGTCTCCGACTTCAAGTGGAATATACCCAAGGTTGTACTTTGGCTTTTGTGGACTTGTTTTAATTTTTTTCAGCTTCCACTTTAACTTGTATATCAGTAATTGATGGTCAGTTCCATAGTTGACCCCTGGCCTTGTTCTGACTAATGATATTGAGCTTTTCCTTCATCTCTTTTCACAGATGTAGTTGATTTGATTCCTGTGTATTGTATCCGGTGAAGTCCATGTGTATAGTTGCTGTTTATTGTTTCTATCACCAAGACCATGTTTTCCAACTGCTGATCCTTCTTTATTTCCAACTTCAGCATTCTGATCCCTAGTCATTATCAGTGCCTCTTGATTGCATGTTTGATCAATTTCAGACTGCAGAAGTTTATAAAAATCTTGAATTTCTTCATCTTTGTCATTAGTGGTTGGTGTATAAATTTGAATAATAATAGTATTAACTGGTCTTCCTTGTAAGTGAATGAATATTATACTATCAGACAGTGTTGTATTTTAGGATAGATCTTAAAATGTTCTTTTTGATGATAAATGTGATGCTATTCCTCCTTAATTCACCATTCCTAGCCCAGTAGACCATATGATTGTCTGATTCAAAATGGCCAATACCAGTCCATTTCAGCTACCACTGTTGCATCAGGATATTGATCTTTATGTGTTCCATTTCACTTTTGATGATGTCACAGTTTCCTAGATTCATATTTCCTACATTCCACATTCTAATTTTTAATTGATGGTTGCAGCTATTTCTTTTTATTTTGAGTAGTGCCCCATCAGCAAATGAAGGTCTAGAAAGCTTTACTCCATCTACTTCATTAAGGTTGACTCTGCTTTGAGGAGGCACCTCTGCCCCAGTTATTTTTTGAGTGCCTTCCAACTTGGGGGGCTCATCTTCTGCTACTGTATTCAACATTGTTCCACTGCTATTCTTATTCACTGGCCAGTTTCTTTTTTTCACAAATAAATTGTCAGATCCTCCTTCCTCATCTGTCTTAGTTTAGAATCTCCACTGAAACTTGTCCAACATGGGTGACCCTGCTGATATTTGAAATACCAGTGTCATAGCTTCCAGCATCACAACAACTCACAAGCCTCTACGTTATAACAAACTGACAGAAGAGTGGTGGCCAAAAGAGAAGAACATGCTTGGCATTTCTTGAGCCGAGAGAACTAAAGAAACAATTCAAGCCTCAAGTTGCAATTTTGAAGGATGCTTTGGGCAAGATGTTGAATGATGTAGGAAGCATGAAGGGGAAGTTGGGAGGAATACACAGTCATTATACCAAAAAAGAATTGATGAGTGTTCAACCATTTCAGGAGGTAACATATGATCACAAACTCATGTTATCGAAAGAAGTCGTCCAAGCTGCATTGAAAGCATTAGTGAAAAGCAAGGCTCCAGGAATTGATGGAATACTAATCGAGATGTTTCAACAGATGGATGCGGCGCCGCAAGTGCTCACTCATCTCTGCCGAGAAATTTGGAAGACAGCTACCTGGCTAACTGAGTAGAAGAGATCTATATTTGTGCCTGTTCCAAAGAAAGATGACCCAACAGAATATGGAAATTATCAAACAATATCATTCATATCACACACAAATAAAATTTTACTGAAGATAATTAAAAAATAGTTGCAGCAGTACCTCTCGAGGGAACTGGCCAGATTCAGAAGAGGATGTGGAATAAGGGATATCATTGCTGATGTCAGATGGATATTGACTGAAAAGCAGAGGATGCCAGGAAGATATTTACTTGTCTTTCATTGGCTATGCAAAGGCATTCAACTGTGTGGATAACATTGTGAAGAACAGGAATTCCACAGCACTTAATTATGCTCATATGAAACCTGTATATAGATCAAGAGACAGTTGGTCAAACAGAGCAGAGAGATACTGTATGGTTTAAAATCAGTGAAGGTGTGTATCAGGATTGTATCTTTTCACCAGACTTGTTCAATCTGTATGCTGAGCAGATCTGAAAAGTAGGACTATGTGAAGAACGTAGCATCAGGGTTGGAGGAAGACTTACTGACAGTCTGCAGGATGCAGATGCCACTACTTTGCTTGCTGAAAGCAGAGAGGACTTGAAGCACTTACTGATGAAGATCAGAGATGACTACAGCCTTCAGTATGCATTACACCTCAACAAAACGAAGACAAAAGTCTTCAGAACTGTACCAACAAGCAACATCATGATAAACAGAAAGGGTTGTAGATACCAAGAATTTTATTTTATTTGCATTCATAATCAACGCCCTTGACATACTGTATTGAATAAATATGCTATAAAAGATCCCTTTAAAGTATTAAAAAGCAAAGATGTCACTCTGAGAATTAAGGTGCACCTGACCCAAGCTGTGATGTTTTCAGTCATCTCATATGCATGTGAAAGCAGGACAATGAATAAAGGAGACTAAGAAAGAATTGATGCATATGAATTATGGTGTTGACAAAGAATATCGAATGTATCGTGCACTGCCAAAAGTACGAACAAGTCTTTCCTGGAAGAAATGCAGCTAGAATGTTCCTTAGAAGTGAGGATGATGAGACTCATCTCACATACGTTAGATGTGTTATTAGGAGGGACCAGTCCCTGGAGAAGGATATCATGCTTATTAAGGTAGATGGTCAGTGAAAAAGAGGAACACCCTCAGTGGGGTGGGTTGACACCATGGTTGCAACGATGGGTTGAGGCATAGCAGTGATTGTGTGGATGGCATGGGACCAGGCAGAGTTTTGTTCTGTTGTACATATGGTCTCTATCAGTCCAGCCTGACTTGGCAGCACATAACAACAGGCACTAGACTTACTTACATCATGACTTTATTTTTACAATGTTCTTTCCAAAACCTTTTATAATATCAATTAAAAGGTCTTAAAAGCAATAAGCATGTAAAAGTGAAAGGAAAATCCTTAGCCAAATGAATCAATTTTATGTGATGGAAACATAACATGGAATAGAAAAATCTTGGTCTGTTGTCAAACTGACCAGTAGTTTCTGTTTTCCATGCCAAAAAGTGGACATGTTTCTCATAAAAATGCCATAGGAATGTATCGTTTTCTGAGGACAGTGGTCTCATTGTGTAAGTAGTTTAAACATAGAGCTGTGCTGAAGAAAGTAATTTGGGATAAACAAACATGAGGTGGAGTCCTAGTTGGTGGTCTTTGGAAATTAAACTCTATAGGCATCAATTAACTTGAAAATGGGGATAATAGCACCATGTCCATCAGTTTGTTTTGAGAGTTAAGTAAAATAATGGAGTCCTAATGCTTAACATGGTACATATTACATAAAGGCTCAGTTAGAAATTGTTGTCATCATTGTCTTCATTATCATTAATTAGAAATGTCCATGAAATCATGAAAATGGGAAGCAAGATAAGATGCTGTGTAATGCCAAAAGGTCAGGTGGCTAAGACTGTAAAGGGAATGTGTATGGTAGCTGTTAACTCTCCCCCATAACTCTGACGCAGAGCATTTTCATGTCTCTCTTTCTTCTCTTTTCTCAATAGGAATGAGCACTTCCAAAACCAAACTAGAACTCCAGAAGCATCTGACAACATTAACCAACCAGGAGCAAGCAACTATTTTTGAGGAGGTTCAGGTACTGTACTAGTTTTTTGATTTCTAGAAGGAGGGCAAAGGTAGGCAGCTCACCTGTGATATGGTATCTATGAAAAATAGTGCACTGGTGCCGTCACAGCACTGAGCAAGTGGCTCGGAGCTCCTCTTGGTTTACCTTCAGTAGACCTATCGAGGTCAGATGGCCAATTCTGATGAAGGCTTAGCTTTCGTGGTGAAGTGACAAGAACAGGGAAGCCTCTTCCTTAAAAGTTTGAAAGAAACATTTTAGAACCAGAGATGCAGTGGGGAGACCTACCGTTGTTACCCCACACTGCTGTCACACAAATACCACCAGTCAGTGGCTTTGAAGAATGTACTTAATTTTCTCACATGTCTGGAAGCTGAAAGTTCAAATCAGGCTCTTGGCCTTGTCGATTCCTCCCTTTTTGTTAGCCCTGGGTGTTCCTTGAGTCCTTGGCATTCCTTGGCTTATAGGTGATCTTTATATGTTGTCTGTTCCCCCACTCTGTGTGTGTGTGTGTGTGTGTGTGTGTGAGTGACAGAGACAGAGAGAGAGATAAGATGTCAGTCTGGTCTTCTATAATTTGGAAGTGATTAGGTTTAGTGTGTTCCTATATTAGTATGACCTCATTAACATAACACAAGAAAAAACCCTATTTCCAAACAGGATTGCATCCACAGGTATAAGTCCCAGGAATTCAACACATAATTTGAGAACACAGTTCAATCCATCTGAGAGCACACTTACCCCTGGGAGACTGGAGACCTGGGTGTGGGCCACACGCACATGTCTGCTCAGTGGGAAACCTCTGCTAGCCCCTTCCCATGCAGAAATTCAGCCCCAAATGTAGAAATCAAAGAAGACAATGTTTTATATGTGAAACTGACTATCATTGTTTCTGTCTCCGTGGTTTCTTTTTGAAAATAAATGTATGTTATCTACTGAAGGCATATCATATATGAAACCTAAAAGAAGAAAAACTCAAGCTCATTGGCTTTTCTACATGAGTTCATGGAAGTTAACTCTTGGATGTAGCTGCGTGTGCTGGCGTATCTGTGGTCTGTTCATTATCATCTTCACTGAGTTCCTCAAAACTTTCATGTCTGCCTTAGTCCAGGGACGTTTCCTATGGTTCCCTGGCACTTTTCTAGGGAGAGCACATCAAACAAATAATAAATAACAATTTTTATTGGGAGTGGGGTGGGCTCAGGAGTTCAACAAATAGAGAGATCATTAAATGAAACAAGAATGATAGCAACTCATTGGATTTAAATCTTTTCTTCCCCCTTGGGAGAAAGCCTGTATAGATAGAGTCCATGATCTGTTAGCTGCTAGTGTGAAAAATGAAAGGATTGTCTTTTTCTTTTAATTACATGTTTATTGTTTTTGTTCTGTGCTGGGAGATGGTTTTGACGTGTATCGAGTACATGTGACAGAATAGAATTGCCCTGTAGGGCTTCCTAGGCAGTAATCTTTATGGTGCTAGGATTCTCTTATTCCCTGTTTCTCTTCTGCTACAATGGAACTGGCATATGTTTTTAGAGTGAAAGCACAGGAGAAGTTATTTCAGAGATAAAGTAAGGTATCTTTATCTTCCTCAATTGCCTTTTAGTTTTCTTCTGAACCAAGTTGAGTCATATCACTTTGTTTTTTCTTAAAACATCTTTAGAGTTCATGTACATGTTGATCATAGACAAACTGAATGTGCTTTGTACTTGAAATTCAGAAATGGACAGAGAATTTGCTTCTGATCATCAGTGTACTTACAGTTGAAGCCAGAGCCTTTTTCATCCAGTGCCAACAACCTACTTGTTGTTATAGTGCTGCCAAGTCACTTTAAAGAACATTTTTCTTCCAAGTAAGGTGCACACCCCTTCCCTAGTGTGGGTTTTTTGTTTAGGTAGTACTGTGTGTTGTTGTTGTTCTTAGGTGCTGTTGAGTCCGTTCCAATTCATAGTGACCGACTCCATGCACAACAGAATGAAACTTGCACATTCCTGCTCCGTCCCCACAGTCGTTGTTACGTTTGAGTCTGTTGTTAAATGCATCTCATTGAGGGTCTTCCTCTTTTTTGCTGACCCTCTACTTTATCAAGTATGATGTCCTTCTCCAGGGACTGGTCTCTTCTGATAATATGACCAAAGTACACGAGATGAGGTCTCACTGACCTTGCTTCTAAGGAGCGTGCTGGCTGTACTTCTTTTAAGATAGAGTTGTTTGTTCTTCTGGCAGTCCACGGTATATTCAGTATTCTTTGCCAACACTGTAATTTGAATGTGTTGATTCTTCTTTAGTCTTCCTTATTCACTGTCCAGCTTTTGTATGCGTGCGAGGTGACTGAAAATACCATGGCTTAGGCCAGGTGCACCTTAGTCCTCAAAGTGACATCTTTGCTTTTTAACATTTTGAAGAGGCCTTACGTTGCAGATTTGTCCAGTGCAATACATTGTTTAATTTCTTAACTCCTGTTTCCATAGACAGAATTAATGTATATACCAAACCAAACCAACCTCACTGCCATTGAGTCGATTCTGACTCATAGTAACCCCTGTTGGGCTTCCAAGGCTGTAAATATTTACAGAAGCAGACTACATCATCTTTTTCACATGGAGCAACTGGTGGGGTCAAGCCATCAACCTGTTGATTAGTGGCCACATGCCTTAACCACTACACCACCAGAGCTCCTTTAATGGTATATAGTAGCTTAAATCTTCCAGCTGTCTGTCAGTTTGCTGTACTGTGTTGGCTTGCATGTTGCTATGATGGTAGGAGCTATGTACTGGTAATTTTTAAATACCAAAAAGATCACCCATGGTAGACAGGTTTTAACAGAGCTTTCAGACTAAGACTGAGTAGGAAGAGAGTCCTGGCAATCTACTTCAAAAATTACCCTGTGGCTTACAACAGAGTATTGTCTAATGCAGTGCTGGAAGATGAGCCTTCTAGGTCAGAAAGCACTCAACATACACAGTGGCTGCAATAAGAGATTCGAGCACCGATGGCCATGAAGATGGTGCAGGCACAGACAAGGTTTCATTGCGTTGTACCTAGTTGGGTCACCATGACTCAGTGCTGGCTAAATAGCAACTAACAACAACAGTTACTTAAATAGTTAGTAAACCAAAAACCCAAACCCGCTGTCATTGAGTCGATCCTGACTCTGGGTGCTCCCCATAGGGTCTCTAAGGCTGTAAATCTTTATGGAAGCAGACTGCCCTATCTTTCTCCCATGGAGCAGCTGATGGGTTTGAACCACTGACTACTTGGTTCACAACTGAATGCTTTAATCACAGTGCCACCAGAGTTCCTTACATAGTTAGTAGAACATGCATATCATATTCAATGTTTAAATAAATGAATGTTTAATGCAAAACAATGCAAGTCAAAGAAAAACAAATAATAACTGCAAATAATGCTGAGCATCATCACTGTTGTAAGCAAGCCCACTTCACCTCCTCTGAGAGATCTTAGTGCCACTTGGGCATTTGGGTATATTAACTGTTCTGTTTGTAAAAGGAAGAGTCCCTGCTGGTACAGATGGTTCAGCACTTGACTGAAAGGTTGGTAGTTTGAACCACCCAGAGGGGCCTTGGGGGAAAGTCCTGGTGATTTGCTTCCAAAAGGTCACAGCCATGAAAACCTTATGGAGTGGCTTCTACTCTGCACCCTCAGGGTCAACTGTGAGTTGGAGTTGACTCGATGGCTATTGGTTTGGGTTTTTGGTTTATTTATAAGAGGACTTGTAATACTGAAAAGCTACCTGTGTTAGGCTGGGTTCTCTAGAGAAGCAAAATCAGTAAAGCTGGTAGAGAAAGAGAAATTTATCTTAGGAAAATGGCTCAGACACTTATAGAAGCTGGCAAGTCTCAAGTTCTTAGATCAAACATCAAGCCTGGAGGCTTTTCTTGACTCATGCAGCTGCAGGGGCTGACGAGCTGAAGGTTGGCAGGCAGTATACTGGCTGTTGACTCCCACGAATGATGAATCTAAGATCTCCAGGCTGAATGGCAGATTGTTTGTGCATGGACAGTTTGTAGGCAGCACGACAGAATCCCAATCCAAAGAAGACTGTCTGTTTTCTCCAAGATGTCCATATGTGTAATGGTAGCATGCCACACTCCTAGGGAAACTCCCTTTCAACAGATTGGCTGCTCAAAACTTACACATCTGATCTCATCATGGGAATAACCACATCACAGCTGCTTAAACCACTTAAAATTGTGGTCCAGCCAAGTTGACACACAACTCCAACTATCATACCACCTTTTTATTTATGACCTTTTGGAGATGTGTAGCTTTCAAACGTATCTAACTGGTCATGTGTGAAGATCACCTCAGGGGGCTTGCTCTCTCTCTCATTGCTCAACTGCTAGCCAGTTTGGCTAAGTCCATATTGGTCTTATTCATTATGAAGAATTGCTTGAAGCCAATGTTGGGCTAGTAAATAAAATGCTTCAGTGTCTAATTCTCTTAACTGAAATGAGTGTATTTCAGGGAATGGCCTAACTTAATACTGAGGAGTAGATTTATACTATATAGACACTGGTTTTGGCTAAAGATGTTGAACTGTGGATCATGACAAATTATGGATAACATTGAGAAAAATGGGAATTTCTGAACACTTTATTGTACTCATGAGAAACCTGTACCTTGACCAGGAGGCTGTTGTTCGAACGGAACAAGTGGACACTACATGGTTTAAAAATCAAGAAGGGAGTGTGTCAAGGTTGTATCCTTTTCCCACACTTATTCAATCTATATGCTGAGCAAATAATCCGAGAAGCTGGACTATATGAAGAAAAACGTGGCATCAGGATCGGAGAAAGAATCAGGATTGGAGGAAAAGTCATTAACAACCTGAGATATGCAGACAATACAACTTTGCTTGCTGAAAGTGAGGATGACTTGAGGCACTTACTGATGAAGGTTGAATACAGTCTGCAGAATGGATTATGTCTCAATATAAAGAAAACAAAAATCCTCACAACTGGACCAATGAGCATCATCACAATAAATGGAGAGAAGATTGAGGTTGTCAAAGAATTCACATTGCTTGGTCCTACACTCCATGCCAATGGAAGCAGCAGTGAAGACATTAGATGACGTGTAGCATTGGGAAGGTCAATCACGAAGGAACTGTTTCAAGTACTGAGGAGCAAGGATGTCCCCTTGAGGACTAAGGTGCAACTGACACAAGCCATGATATTTTCAATGGGCTTGTATGCATGTGAGAGCTGGATAATGAATAAGGAAGACTGAAGAAGAGTTGATGCTTTTGAGTTGTGGTGCTGGCAAAGAATGCTGAAAGTACCACGGACTGCTAAAAGAACTAACAGATCTGTCCTGGAGGAAGTACACCCAAAATGCTCCTTGGAAGCGAGAATGGCCAGACTTGGTCTCGCCTATTTTGGTCATGTTGTCAGAGGCAACCATTCTTTGAAGAAGGATGTCATGCTTGTAAGGTGGTGGGTTGACGAAAGAGGGAGAGGCCTTCAATGAGATGGATTGATACAGTGGCTGCGATGATGGGCTCAAGTATAGCAGGGATCGTGGAGCTGGCATGGGATCGGGTAGTGTTTTGTTCTTCTGTGCATGGGTTCGCTATGAGTTGGAAAAGACTCGACGGCACCCAACAACAACAACAACAACAACAACAACAACAACAACAAGATACTGATAATGGATTAAACAACATGGTTTACATAAATTTTTAAAGATGAGAATAACCATTGTTCATTTTATGGAGAATATATATCAACTTACTTGGATTTTCCATGATTTAAAAATTATTTGTTAAAAGGTTATCAGTTAAGGTTCAACAGAAAAGTAGAACCAATGGGATGGCTATATGTAAATGTATACACATACATACATATACACACATGCAAACATATATATAAATAAAGAAATTGATTTTAAGGAATTGGCTCATGTGATCTTCAGTGGGGAAGTGCTAGTAAGTCTAAAGTCAGTGGTGCAGTCCAGCAAGCTCAAAACGCAGACAGGATTTGGTGCTGCAGTCTTGAGGCAGAATTCTTCCTTCTTCAGGAAACCTCAGTTTTTCCTCTTTTAAGCCTTTAAAAATTAGAGTAGACCCCTGCCCATTATCAAGGGTGCTCTCTCCCACTTTGTAGATGTTAATCCATCAATGAAATACCTTCCCAGCAACTCCTTACTAGCATTTGATTCAGTATCTGGTTACTGTAACCTAGGCAAGGAGCCCTAGTGACACAGTGATTAATTAAGCACTTAGCTGCTAACCAAAAGGCCAGTGGTTTGAATCCACTAGCTGCTTTGCAGCAGAACGATGAGGCAGTCTGCTTCTGTAAAGATTACAGCTTTGGAAACTCTATGGAGCAGTTCTTCTCTGTCCTGTAGGGTTGCTGTGAGTCAGAATCAGCAGCCACGTTGACATATAAGACTCACCATCACATTTTGTAATTATCATTTTTAAAAAAGATACCAGATGAGGTGTCCAAGTGAATGTTGTCTTTTTTAAGTGGTTTGTTTGGAACATAGACTTTCTCAGCATGCTGGAATTGATGAGCCAGTGTTGAAAATTCCTTTATGAATTGCCTTTACAACCAATTTATCAGCCCCTTGTGGACATAAGTTAAGAAACATGTAACAAAATCAGTTTTCTTACTTAACAGACAATTTTTTTTCGTAGTTTTTTTTTTTTTTTTTTTCAATTCAGGTATAACATTCATACAAGGAACTCTGGTGGTACGGTGATGAAGGCATTTGGCTGCTAACCATAAGGTCGGCAGTTTGAACCCACCAGCTGCTCCATGAAAGAAAGATGAGGCATTCTGCTTCTGAAAAGATTTACAGCCTTGGAAACTCTGTTAGCGGTCACTATGAGTCGGAATCGACTCATTCGCAATGTGTTTGGTTTTGGTTTTTGAGATAACATTCATACAGAAAACTGAACAAATCAATGATGTGTGATTCCTTACTTTTTTTTTTTTTTAAACAAGGTTAATATACCTGTGCAGCCAACACCAAAATTTAGACATAGAACATTTCCAGCACCCTAGAAACCCCCTCTTACCCTGCTGGTTATAATTACTCGCAGGCAGCCACTGCCCTGCCTTCTGACCCTGTCTTCTGACCCTGTAGGTTTGTTTTGGCTTGTAAGTCATGTTTTTGTCTGAAAATGATGTTATCCAACTTGATTTTTCATTATATTCCTTGGACTGTCCTACTGACTAATGAAAGGTTATAAAATTAAATCTTGAAGAAATGATGATTTCCCACTGTTGAGGGTAGTGAGGTCATGTGGGGACCTTGAGGAGATGAAACATTGCTAATCTTTTTTGAGTTGTATAGAAGGATAAACCAAAAAACCAAACTCAATGCTGTCAAGTCGGATCTGATTCATAGCGACCCCTCCTTGGGTTTCTGAGTATCACTCTGGAAGTAGAAAGGATAGCGTAGGATATTCCAAATTAACTTTAAAGAAAGATTTATTTTTTGACCCTCTTATGAAACCATCAACATGGGCTTCTCTTCCTTAGTGACTTTCCTCTGTGATGTATAATAAGCCTTTTGACACATTTTCTGTTTCTTGGACTAAGTTTTTGAAGGGAAGTATTGATTGTAGTACATTAGGTTCAGTTTCATTTTCTGCCTGTTTGAATAGTTACTTTCATGTATATTTTGAGAAGATATATTAATAACAATCCTCTCTTTTTACCACATTCTTAGTCACTACTATTTTGGTATTTTGAAATAAGCTATCATGAAGAATTTCAACCAAGCAAAATAAATGTTTTCTTGTGACAATAGCTCAAAGATTTAGTTAAAGATACAAGAGAGGAAAGAACTCTCAGGACCCGGAACCTGCTCAGCTGTCTGCTTCTCTTCCCTGGACTTTGGACCCACGTTGTTATTGTTACTTGCTGTCACATCTGACTTACGGTGACTTTATGTATAATGGTATAATGGAACGAGTCGTTTCTCACTCTCACGGAGTATCTTTAACCCTTTGGGGATCTAGCATGTTAAATTGGAATGGTGGTATTTGACTACTTCTTTCCATTTTTGAGGATCTGACGGACCTTTCTCTGGAAAAATCTACCTTTTACCTATAACATCTGTGATACTTTATAATATCAGGACTCATGGCTTGGAGCACAGGGTAAGAACCTCTGCTCCAGCCTCTGAAATGTTTAATCCTTAAACCTAAAAATTTGAAAGAACAGGAAGTCCTCAGTGAAAACACTCTATTTTAATCATTTACTATTTTTCCTTGTGTAACAGGAACACCTTAACTTTTGAAACAATCTTTTTCCTAAAGAGAGGAAGCGTCAGAAGGTCTGGCTGGGTTAGTTACCTTTGCTTGTAATGCCCGTGCCATGAAGGATTAAATCCTTGTTCCTTGGGTAGATGGGGAAGCAGTTTGCTGAGAATGGCATTGACCAGGACTCAGGTCCCTTTATTATACCCCAACTTTGTTCTAAAGGGCAAGCTAGAAGCTTGGAATAGGAAAAGAAGAAGAACTGGGAAATGGATAATTGCCAATAAAGAAGACATATGTTCTAAGTTTGTAGACTGGAGTCTTTGTGTATCTCCAAACTAATTCAGTTTTGTTTTCTTCATGTTTAGAGAAGCTTATACATTAAATGAGATGGTCTTTTGAAAAGCACCTCTGACTGATCTCTCAAATCTAAGGCATTTGAGAGCTGGAGGAAACCTTGGAGTTTATTTCATTGTAATCTTTAACAAATGAGCAAGCTAAGAGTCGGTGACTTGCCTTCGGTTCTTGGCAACAACTAGAGCCTACATGTCCTGATTTATAGCCCAGTGTGTGTTTGCCATTACCCTGTCTGAAAAAGAGAAAGCAGAGAATTTCAGGGAAAAAGAAAAGAAGTTGAGTTGCATGTCGTGATGTTTTGTGTGGAAGTGCATGCCTCGTGGGGCTTCCACAAAGTACCTCCTGACTACTACATTTGACGTGGGGGACCATGACCCTGAGTTCAGCTGCTGTTTTTGTTTCCAGTTCCCTTAATCATAAGAGTTTGTATCATGTAATTGTTATGGCTCTTGACCTCTGGGTGTTTACACAGATTTTGATCTTTCCTTCTGTTTTAAAAACTACATTTTTGTTAAATATTTTGACTAGGCTTCTATGTGATGTGCAACATTTATTTTAGGTATAAGGACATCAGACATCAAAAGCTCATAAGCTGGCCCACTAGCCCCAGTGCAGGTTCTCTGTTAAAATTATCTGCACTTTTAGGATGACAGGTGCCCCCCAGTGAGAAGATTGGATAAAACCACTAGTTAATGGGTAGAAGCTCTTAGCATCTCCAAAGGGACAATTAGTTTTGTTGAGAATTAAAAATAAAATGTAATGTTTTTTTTTTTCTTTTAAGAAATTGAGACCAAGAAATGAGCAGCGAGAGAATGAATTGATTATTTCCTTCCTGAGATGTTTGTATGAAGAGAAACAAAAAAATCACATTCACATTGGGGAGACGAAGCAGGTATGGCTTTTCTGTGTCTTAATTTTTACCAATACACTGTATAAGCAGAGTCTTCAGGGTTATGGAGCTCCAAAACATCTTTCCCTCCGTGTTTTATTTAAATTTGTAGCACATGTAGGGAACATGTGGGGGATGTTTAAATTGCACCTGGACAAGATGAGAGAAGTTTCTGTCAACATTTAGTGGAGGTGGATTTGAAAGACTGGATTTGAAAGAATGGAGACTGCCCCCAGGAGCTACGTGTCCTGTAGAAAACTGGTTTCAAGCACCCTATCTTCCTCCCTTGTAAAAGGGAAATGATATCATTGCTTTGGAAGTCTGTAAAGTGCCTGAAAGTTCTTTGTAATATAAATGCTTTGTGCATGTAAGATAGTGTTACCAACAAATCAGAGAAAATATTAGGAATCCTGATTTATCTGTTGTTCAGGTAGAGAACTTCCTCTGTTCATTCCATTTTGCATCATGGAGCTGCAGAGTGTGCCTCTCACCCTGTACTGTCCATAAGCTCTCTTTAACTTTCCTGCAAATGAGGTTCTTTGTCAGAAGCTGGGGCTCCCTGCAGATCCCTGCCTCTGAAGAGAGTCAGCCTTGGAATTCAATATCCACGGTACCTTGGGCCATTTTCCTGTGTCTTTTGGACTCTGTATGAGCCAATTCATAATAAACCATTATAGCTTCAAACCATGTGTAGTTTTTATTTGCTAAGGCTACTTGCTGGCCAGAAAATCTAAAGAAAAGTCAGTGGAAGATGTTAAAATTCCTTAGTTTTCCAAAAGTATATATATGTATATATATATATTTTTCTTCAGGAAAAAAAAAAATTCTTTTGCTTAATGCTTATCCTAAAGGCTTATTCTGATGCTTGGTGGGGTGTCTTGCCCTTGCTCTCTGCCATACCTTCAGGCCCTCACTCTTCTGGCAGCCTGCCATGATGCAGTTTGACTTGAAGGCACACATAGCTCGTTTGGTTTCTTCACCTGAGCAGACTTTGGCAGTTATGTGCTTTTCTTCCACTCTTAGAGCTCACGTGGCGTCTTACATTGCTTTTACCTCTTTGCTCAACTGTAGGGTATCTTAGCAGTGACCCTCCCACCAGTGAGTTGTCTGTGTGTTTTGGCCTTTGGGTTTTGTGTGCTGTAAGTCCTCCCTTCCTGGCCTGGACTCTTAATAGAGCAGGGAGTCTGTCCCCTCTCCTGCTCACTTTTGAATGTGCCACCCAGTCTAAGTTTTCCATTAATTCCTAGTTCTCCTGGCAATCGATTTCTTTTCTCTCTTCCACCCGCCTCCCCCCCTTTTTTTTTTTGGCCACTGGTAGCTTTTTACCAAGTCTCATGTTCTTTCCGCTGAGTCAGTCTGACTTGTTCCAACAGGAAATTGATTGTTTTGAAATAATTTATAACTGTTAGAAAGGGGTATGAAGCATTTATGGTGAATGGAAACTGTTCTTTTACTAAACATTTGACGTAAGTGCCAGACTCATTTTTATGGAACAGGTAATATCTTTATGATTTAGTCCAATGGAGAAATACACTTAATGGATTTTCCCCCCATTTCCAAACCCTGAGAGAATTTAATGTGGCAGATACTGAGCCTCACACAGCAGAACTGGCCTCTGCACAGAGCTTTCCCCAGGTTGCTGTACATTCTGCCCCCTCATGTGCTCACGTCTGACTCTGTAGAGACATGTCCCTCATCCCCAGATGTGCCTGGGCGTTCTCCAGGCTGGATGCCAGAGCAGCAGCCAGTTTGCAGATTGGTCAGATGAAGCTTAGAGATTCACCAATGGAGTACTGCTCTCATTTTTCTGCTTCTAGATAGTTTGCTCACATAGATGCCATTAACTTCCTGTTTCAGCTAAAAATTTTGTAGCCTTTGAAAATGTGTTATGACTTGACTGAGACAGAGGTAGAACCATGCCTTTGACAATGAACCTCACTGGACATCACCTTCGAAGTGTACCAAAAAAAAAAAAAAACCTCATGAACCTCACTGGCCATCACCTTTCAGCCCTGAGCTTCTCATAGTTAGGAGTGACATCATGCTTGCTTTTCAAAGACAAAATGATTGTGTCAGATAACTGCCAAGGGAGTTACTTTCCAAAAATTAGAAAACAATAGAATGAATCCTTTGATCTTATAGAAAAAATTCAGATTGGGCAAAGGACTATAAGCTGATTAAAGCTGGACAGTGTCTTGTTTTAGTCAGTGGACATGTCGTTTCTATTTGTATTCACAGAGCTGGTACACAAATTAATATTAAATCAACTGCTATCTGTTATATATTTGCGGGAACATAACAAGATATGGATTCTGAGTGCTTCATGTGAATTATCCCATTTAGTCCACAACAACTTTTCTGAGCTGAATGGTAAAGTCAGTACCCATTTCAAAGACAAGGAAGTGGAGAAAGAGTTTAAATATTTTGCTTGTAAGTGGTGGATCCAGTTTGTCGAAGGTCTCAGTACCTTATCTTAATCATCATAATTTTTTTAAGAATTTAACTACCTATTGAGTAGTGTGTGTCCATTTTCTAGTAAATAAGTTTTTCTTTTTTTCGTATTTCATTATGAAACATTTCAGACATACAGAAAAGTTGAAAAAAACTGTGCAGTGAATACAAATGTACCCACCACCTGGAATTGTGGTTTCCAGCATTTAGTTCTATATGTTTTGTTACGTAGCTGTCCGTCTATCATTTTTTGGTGCCTTTCAGAGTAAGTTCCTGATATCAATAATCTACCCTAACACTTCAGCACACATCTTTCATTAGAATTCAATATTTGTTTGTTTCTTTAAGAAAAAAGATTATATACATTTTGTTGCACAAATAGTATGTCTGCCATCTGATGAGTTTTGAGGAGTGCATGCGTTCACATGGCCAAACTCCTATGAAGATCCTGACCACCTGTATCACACTATAAAGTGGTAAAGCGCCTGCCACCCGGCTCATTTCTGGTCAGTCTTCCCCACAGCTGCCCTCTGCACTGTCCCAGGCAAAGTGGTTGGTGTCACAGCAGATTAAGTTTTTGCATATTGTAGACCTTCTTATAAATGGAATTATATAGTATGCACTCTCTTAGCTCTGACTTCTTTCACTCCGAATAAAGTTTTTGGTATTTATTCATGTTGTTACACGTATCAGTAGTTCATTTTTATTCTGCTGTATTAACAGCAAAGTTTGTCCATTGTCCTGTTTATGAATACCTGAGATGCTTCCAGTTTTATTACAGATAAAGCTTCTAGAAGATATGTTTTGATGGGTTAAGATGGGTTCTGAACTGAGAACCTCAGTACAGCATCAATTTAAAACTTGGCTCCAGACTTTTCTACTTAGAGTTCTTGCATCTATTGAGGACCACAGTGGTCCAGTCCTGCAGCACATGGGGTTACTGTGAGTCAGGGACCATCCACCAACAGAAACAAGTCATTCTCTGAATGCTAGTTGTAATTCTCAACCAAGTAAAACTATGGATGATTTGTTAAAGCCAATTGTAGCTCTTATGAGAATCTTTTATTTCGCTTCCTGTATCTCTTGAAAATGTATTGAATACCCTTCATTGATATATTAGCATTTCATGAATTCAAAGAAGATATGTGATCTTTGGGTGGCAGAAAAGTGACTACTGACTCAGAGTCTGCATTTTATCCAGATCCTTGATTCATATAAGGAACTCTGGTTGTGTGTTGGTTAAGACATTCAGCTGTAAACCAAAAGGTCAATGGTTTGAACTTGTGACCTGCTCTGAGGAAGAAAGATGAGGCAGTCTGCTTCAGCAAAGATTTAGCGCCTTAGAAACCCAATGGGAGTTGCTAAGAGTCAGAATTGACTTGCTGGCAATGAGTTTGGTTTGGTTTTTGGTTGATTCGTATGATTCTGATTCAGTATATCTGGAGCAGAAAGAAATATTCTTGCAGGGAGTTGAACAGGAATGAACCAGTTTAAACCCCTGGTTATTACTTTATTTTGAAAAGCTGTATCAGGTACTGTGCTCAATCAATGCTTTACATACTTAACCAGTTTTAATTTCATAACATAGTGTCATGATTCAATCCTACTGTTGGTCTCAATTTACAAAAAGAAAGTTGAGGCTCAGAGAAAGTAAGTCACTTGCATAGGTTGCATTTGGTAAATGACAGCTATCTGATCTGATTCCAGAGTGAGCTTTAAACTACTTTGTTAACTAGTCAATTTCAAAGCATGTTTCCTGGTTTTGTTTGGGGTAGCCACAGCAGCTCCTTGAGGAAAAATTATTTTTTGGATTTGCAAGCCTCGCCACTAAGGAGCAGATAAAATGAGATCAGACAAAATGATGGCCTGGTGCCAAAAAGATGCACGCTGGAGAATTTACATCCTCATAAAAGAGGGAGGGAAGGAGGAAGGAAGGAAGAAAGGATTTACCTTTTCATTGTTTTGCTTTTTCAGACGTCAGTGGTTGCAGCAGAGAATATTGGAAGTGAATTACCACCTAGTGCCACTCGATTTAGGCTAGATATGCTGAAAAACAAAGCAAAGAGATCTTTAACAGAGTCTTTAGAGAGCATTTTGTCTCGGGTAAGTAGAATAATTTCCCCTGATTTAAGTTGAACCCTTTTTAAAGAGAGAATAAGATTCAGTTCTGTGCTTTTATTCCATTATTATTCATCATCATTTTTTTTAAAAAAAGAGGACAAAACCTTTTTTGTATGTCTCCCTTAGACTTAAAGCAAGGATGTCCACAATTAAATTCAGTTGTTAACTGGTCCTGAGTTAAAAAGATACTCTCCATTCTTTTGTATTACATGCTTTGGAATTACTTGTTTCCTAAAAAGAGGTTATTCACTGACCAGTTTCTATTAAGAGCACAGGTTAGACATGTTGAGGTGGGTTCTGTTCTCCTAGAACCTAGTGTCACTAGGTTCAACTTAAAAAAACTGTCAGCTGCCCCTCTTATGTCTTTGGAACACTCTGTAACAAGGGTCACCAAACTGTGATCCACAGGCCAAATTCTACCCATCACCTGCATTTGTAAATAAAGTTTTATTGAAACACATCCACATCCATTGTTGTTGTTGTTGTTATACATCCATGAGTTTACCTATTTAAGGCTGCTTTTATGCAGAGTTGAGTAGTTGCCACAGACACCATATGACCCACAAAGCATAAGAAATTTATGATCTGGCCCTTTGTAGAAAAAGTTTGTTGACAGCAGCGCTATAGGAAGAACAAAGTACACATACACACTAGCCTGGAGAGTTCTTTAAGAAGGCCTCCCACCCCCAAGAGTAAAGGCCTTTAATGGCACATTTAAGAAATCAAAGTTCAGTTTTCTTTCAAAGTTTCACACCTTTCTCGAAGTTGCAGTATCTTCTTAGGGTTCATTTTTATTCTGTGACACACTCCCTTTGAAACATATACTTTTTTTTTTTCTTTTCCTAGTTAAGAAAAGTTAAAATTTATTTTGTTTGAAGATGTTTGTGAGAATTGTACAACATCCTTTCAGATAACTGAAAACAGTCAATTTACAAAATTATTGAGAAGGGCTGTTTAGGAGAGCTCTCAAATGAGTAGTATATTGTGTGACCATCAACCAGCTGGCTAGTTGGACTCAGAGGAGAGAGTTGTTGAGTGGGCTTACTGTAGCACTTGCTTTTCCTCACGGATGGATTGTCTCTTCTGCCTGCCTGTCATCCCCTCTAAATGACTAATACCCAAGGTGTTTCAAAGCTGTTTGTTTGTTTGTTTGTTTGATGTATTTTTTTTTTTTTTTGAAACGGGAAACAACAAAAATGTTGATTGTGTTAATGTGTGTGTGTATATATATGTACAAGGAGCTCTGGTGGCACAATGCCTAAAGCATTTGACTGTTAACCAGAATGTTGGCAGTTCAAACCCACCAGCCACTCCACAGAAGGAAGATGGGGCAATCTACTTCCATAAAGATTTACTGCCACAGAAACCCCAAGGAGGTCATTATGAGTCAGCATAGATTCGATAGCAGTGAGTTTGGTTTATACATATATATACATACATATATATACATACACACACACACACACACGCACGCATAGGAGCTCTGGTAGTATAGTGCCTATGGCACTTGACTGCTAACCACAAGGCTGGTGGTTCAAACCC